CGGGCGGCAGCAATGGCGGCGGCGGCGGCGGCCGGGCCGGGAGCGGCGGGAGCGGCCGGGGCGGCCCCGGCGCGGGGCGTCCGCGCCTGGCTGCGGAGCGCCTTCCGCTTCGCCACCGACCGCAACGACTTCCGCAGGTCCGCGGCGGGGAGGGACCGGGACCGGGACCGGGACCGGGCGGGAGCGCGGGGTCTGGCCCGGGGTCTGTCTGTCCCCGTGTCTGTCCCGATGTCTGTCCCCGTGTCTGTCCCGGGGTCTGTCCCCGTGTCTGTCCCCGGATCGGGAGCAGGGCCGGGATCGCCCCTCGGTCCCTGTGTCCGGCTCTGGCTCCTCCTTCAGGGAGGGGATTTTGGGACCGCAGCAGACCCAGGGAAGGGAGCGGAGCTGGGAAGGGTTTGGGGTATCCTGAGGGAGCTGGGAAGGGATTGGAGAGTCCTGAGGGAGAATCCTGAGGGAGCTCGGAGGGGTTTGGAGGATCCTGATGGAGCTGGGAAAATGTTTGGAGAGTCCTGAGGGAGCTGGGAAGGGTTTGGAGAATCCCGAGGGAGCTCGGAGGGGTTTGGAGGATCCTGATGGAGCTGGGAAAATGTTTGGAGAGTCCTGAGGGAGCTGGGAAGGGTTTGGAGAGTCCTGAGGGAGCTGGGAAGGGTTTGGAGAGTCCTGAGGGAGCTGGGCAGGGGCTCAGCCTGGAGCAAAGGAGGCTCAGGGGGAGTTTCTGGCACAGCCGGGGGGATTTGGGATCTCATCCCAGGGAACAGGGACAGGAGGAGAGGGAACGGCCTCAGGCTGTGCTGGGGAGACTCGGGTTGGACTCCAGCAGGAATTTCCTCATGGGAAGGGCTGGAAGGGGCTGCCAGGGGGGTTTGGAGTGCCCATCCCTGGAGGTGGCACGGAGAGCTCGGGGTGGCTCGGGGGAACTCTCCCAGACCCGTGCCCAGGCTCAGGCGGGGCTCTGTGCCTGCAGGAACCTGCTGCTGAACCTGGGGCTCTTCGCCGCCGGGGTCTGGGTGGCGCGGAACCTGACCGACATCGACTTGATGGCCCCGCAGCCCGGCCCGTAGCTCCGGTCAGTCCCGGGAATATCCTGAGCTGGGAGGGACCCGCGGGATCAAATCCAACCCTTGGCCTGCACAGACACCCTGGAATCCCACCCTGCGCATCCCTGGCATCCTAAAATCCCACTCCAGGCATCCCTGGCATCCTAAAATCCCACCCTGGGCAGCCCTGGTGATCCAAACTCCAGCCCTGGGCATCCCTGGGATCCCAGAATCCCACCCTGGGCATCCCTGGCATCCTAGAATCCCACCCCGGGCATCCCTGGGGATCCAAAATCCCACCCCGGGCATCCCTGGGGATCCAAAATCCCACCCTGGGCGTCCCTGAGATCTTAAAATCCCACCTTGGGCATTCCTGGGCATCCCAAAACACCACCCTGGGCATCCCTGGGGATCCCAGAATGCCACTCCAGGCATCCCTGGCATCCTAAAATCCCACCCTGGGCAGCCCTGGTGATCCAAACTCCTGCCCTGGGCATCCCTGGGGATCCCAGAATTCCACCCTGGGCGTCCCTGAGATCCCAGAATCCCACCCTGGGCCGTGCCCATTCCCTGGGGAGCCAGGGCAGTGCCCGGCACCCTCGGGGGAGGAAGAGCCTTTCCCAAAATCCATCCTCCAGCTCCCGAATCCAGCCCTTCCCTGGGTGCTGTCCCTGCTCCCCCGGGTGGACAGCGCTGTCACCCCGGGGTGGCACAAACCCCACAGAACCCTCCTGCCACATCCAAAACAGACCCAGCTCCCCTGACCTTGCCAACTCCTGTTCCAGGAAGGAGCCGGAGCTGCCGGGAGCAGAGCTCGCCCTCCCGCCAGGACCGGAGCCGTGGAGCTGCTCTGATCCCACCTGGAGCTGCTCTGATCCCACCTGGAATTGCTCTGGTCCTTCTGGAGCTGCTCTGATCCCACCTGGAGCTGCTCTGATCCCTTTGGAGCTGCTCTGGTCCTTCTGGAGCTGCTCTGATCCCCCTGGAGCTGCTCTGATCCCACCTGGAATTGCTCTGGTCCTTCTGGAGCTGCTCTGATCCCACCTGGAGCTGCTCTGATCCCACCTGGAGCTGCTCTGATCCCCCTGGAGCTGCTCTGATCCCACCTGGAGCTGCCTGGAGCAGTGAGAAGGACAAAAGGTTTAATGCTGAGAGGGAGAATTGATTTCCCATCCGTTCATTCATTCCTCTGGGAATTGTTTCCTCAAGGATGTGCACGGAATTTCCTTCTGTACCCCCCACCCCCAGATGTTTATTAAATTTTATGGAATAACAACACAACCCACTGGAGTTGATTTCTTTTTTTCTCTTTTTTTTTTTTNTTACAAAAAAAAAAACCAACCAAAAAAACAACAACAAAAAACCAAAGTGTAAAAAGAGTAAAGATTTACAAAATTAAAAAAAAAAATCATAAAACATGATTTCTATTTCACATCCGAGAGAGAGACGGGGACGAGCCCAGCCCTGGGACCCAGCAGCTGCTGCTGCTGCCAGGGGAAATCCAGCTGGGATGGAACTGAAATCCAACCTGGGATGGAACTGAAATCCAGCCTGGGATGGAACTGAAATCCAGCCTGGGATGAACTGAAATCCAGCCTGGGATGGAAATCCAGGAGAAATCCAGGGAAAATCCAGCTGGGATGGAAATCCAGGATAAATCCAGCCTGGGACGGAACTGAAATCCAGCCTGGGATGGAAATCTAGGGAAAATCCAGCTGGGATGGAATTGAAATCCAGCCTGGGATGGAAATCCAGGGAAAATCCAGTTGGGATAGAATTGAAATCCAGCCTGGAATGGAAATCCAGCTGGGATGGAACTGAAATCCAGCTGGGATGGAAATCCAGGAAAAATCCAGCTGGGATGGAACTGAAATCCAGCTGGGATGGAAATCCAGGAGAAATCCAGCTGGGATGGAACTCCAGGAGAAATCCAGGCTGCTGTGAGTTACTCACAGGTTGCTCCCCGCTCCCAGCCCCGGGTGTGGTGCCCCCTCCCTCTCCTCCCCACAAAAACCCCAAAATTCCCTTTCCAGACCCCAAAATTCCCTTTCCAGACCCCAAAATTCCCTTTCCAGAGCAGCTGTTCCATCACCCCGAATTTCCTGGCGGGGGGGACAATCCCCTCCTGCAGGAAAAGGGGATTCATTCCCATCTTCCAGGCCCCGCAGGGTTTATCCCGGGTTTAATCCGGGTTTAATTCCCTCCCACAAATCCCCCCCGGCAGGCCAGGCCCAGCCTTGGATCCAGAGATGGTTTGGGGTGAGGTGGGGTTGATTTAGGGGTGATTTTGGGGTGATTTAGGCCTGAATTGGGCTGATTTGGAGCTGATTTAGGCCTGATTAGGGGGTGATTTGGGCCTGATTTGGGGGTGATTTAGGGGTGATTTGGGGTGATTTAAGCCAGATTTGGGGATGATTTAGGGGTGATTTAGGACTGATTTAGGGGTGATTTGGAGCTGATTTTGGGGTGATTTAGACCTGAATTGGGCCTGATTTGGGGTTGATTTAGGGGTGCTTTGAGGTAGATTTAGGAGTAATTTGGGGTTGATCTAGGGGTGATTTAGGGTTGATTTAAGACAGATTTGGGGCTGATTTAGGTCAGACTTGGGGCTGATTTAGGCCAGATTTGGGGGTGATTTAGGTCAGATTTGGGGGTGATTTGGCCTGATTTGGGACCAATTTAGGCCAGATTTGGGGTTGATTGAGGGCTGATTTGGGACAAACCCTGCTGCATGAAAAGGAGCCAGGAATAGTCAGGAATTCTGGAATATCCCAAGCTGGAAGGATCAGGCAGGAACCCAATGAGTCCCTCCCCCCATCTGCCCCTCCAGGCCCTTCATTTGTAGCCCTTAATTAATGAACTAATTGGATTCTCCTGTCACTCGCTGCTGTCCTTGAGGAGGACACGCCAGGCCTGGCGCTGCCATCAGGAACGATGGGAAATGGGAATTTTTCTCTGGCACAATCCAAGTTTTTTGTTTGCTCTGCTCCATTTTCCCAAGGACAGGAGGTTGAAATTCCCAGGAAAAAGTGGGATTTGGGAGCTTTTCCCCCACAGCAACAAAGGTTGGCAGCTTGTGTTTCTCTGATGAGACCAAAGGAGCAAAAAGGGAGGAAGAAAAACGCTTGGAGAGCTTCCCTGCCTGAAAACTGAGTTTTTTTTTTTTAAAAAAACAACTCATATTTTTTGATCACTTAAAAAAAATAACCCAGATTAACAGACATCAGTTGTAATATTCAGATTAAAAGGTGAAATGTGAACAGCCAAACCCCAAAATTACAAAAAACCACACCTGAGGTGCAACTGTAGAAGTGACTGTAAAAAGTCCAGCTAAGGCTCTTTTTTTTTCCCCCACAGAATTCCCAAAATCAGGCTGATTTCAGATACAGACTTTTTGTTTTTGCAGCTTTTCCAGCACCACGTGGAATTTGGGGTTTCACATTCCTCCCCCTGGGTGGCCCTGCAGGAATCCCCGAATAAATGACTTTTTTTTACTGATTTTTCACCCCAAAAGCAGTGACATTGCCACCACGCCATTCCCCTGAGGAAAAACAGCCACATTTGTACAAAAAAAGGGGAATTTCCCCCCAATTCCAACTCCTGCTGCCACAGCTTTTGGAAACTTTTCCCAGTCCAGGGGATGCCAGCAGAAACCTGGAGCTCAGGTTTTGGTTTGGCTGCTGGAGGTGCCACCCAGGGACATTCCTGGGGGTTTTCTTGGGTGTTAAAACACATTTTTGGGGGGGTTAAAACTTATTTTATATGTGCTAAATCCCATTTTTGGGAGTAAAACCCCATTTTTTGTGGGTTTAAACCCCATTTTTTTTTGTGTGTGCTAAAACTCACCTTATGTGTGTTAAAACTCGTTTTTGGGGATGAAAGCATTTTTGTGTATCAAAACACATTAACGGAGGTTAAAACCCATTTTTGGGGTTAAACTCCATTTTTGTTGTGTGTTAAAACCCACCTTATATGTGTTAAAACCCATTTTTGGAGGTTAAACCCCTTTTTCTCCACGGCAGAACTCCATGAAAATCCCATTTTTGAGGGGATTTAGCTGCCAGCTGAGTTCAGGCCAAAGAAAACCCTGGAATGTGGCACAGAAATTGGAGTTCCAGGGGCAGCATAGGGAGGAGTTGAGAGGAATTCCCAAGTTTTTCCAGCAGGAAGAGCTCTGGGATGCACCAGGCCACTCAGGGGTCCTGTGCCAGTTCCTCTTGGAGCTGGAGCAGGATTTTTAGGGATTGGGGGAGTTGATCCAGGGGGATTCTCCT